ACAAAAAAAGAAACTCACCAAAACAAAAAAAAACCAAAAAAAAACCAAAAACCCACACCCCAAAATGAAAAACCTTCCCTGTATTCCAAAGCTTCCAAAATAAGCAACTCATTTGCATTCATGCAAATATCTTTGAAGGAAACGTATTGTTATTATTGTCATCATTAGGCAACAAGTGACAATGGGGTGCATCAGTGAATATGAGCACTGCTCAAGGACTGAATATATTGACCCCATCAAGAAGTTCCTCTGAGACTGAAGGAAAGCACCAGCTGCCATGTCTATACTTCTCCTGTCAGGTCTGTGGGCCCCTGCCTGACAGAGGCCATGTGGAGATATTTAAGTGAGGGAGCATTGACTTTAGATCACGTTAAGAAGTTTCTCCACCCTGTTATTTTCAGATATAAAATGCCCCAATGTCAAGAGTGAAATGAAACCTTAGTAGCACCAAGATCTAAGTCTGGATAAGTGTCGGTGGGAAAAGAAAGTCTGAGGAAGTCTTTAGCTTCACACAGCAGGATATTGGTCTGTTCCAGCAAGTCCAGAGGAGGCCACCAGGTTATTTAGAGGGATAGAGCAACTCTGCTATGAGGAAAGGCTGAGAGAATTGGGGTTGTTCAGCCTGGAGAAGAGAAGGTTTTGGGGTGACTTAATTGTGGCCTTCAAGTACCTGAAGGGAGCTGCAAGAAACATGGAGAGGGACTTTTTACAAGGGCCTGGAGTGACAGGACAAGGGGGAACGGCTTCAAACTAAAAGAGAGTAGATTCAGATTAGGTATTAGGAAAAATTCTTGACTGTGAGGGTGGTGAGGCCCTGGAAGAGGCTGCCCAGAGAAGCTGTGGATGTCCCATCCCTGGAAGTGTTCAAGGTCAGGTTGGACAGGGCTTGAAGCAATCTAGTCTAGTGGAAGGTGTCCACGTCAGGGGGTTTGGAACTGGATGGTCTTGAGGGTCCTTTCCAACTCAATCTGTGATTCTATGATTCTTTCAGCCAGCCGGTTTTGTTGTGTAAAGATAGATTTGTCTGCATTTGGTCTGGACAAAGAAGGGGAGGATTGGTAAAATACCTCCTGAGTCTGTGCTGTTGTACTTTTAAAATAAGTGCCTGGTATGTGATCTTGGGATCTCTTCCCATTGTAAGGAGTTGAGGAGGTTACAGATACACCAGCAAAAGTTTGGTTCCAAAACTGTTCAAAAGAGGAAGAAACATGACTCTTTCAAAAGTTTGAAATGTTTTCAGCACAATATGGGTCTTTCCTTGTGGCTTTGAGAAATGTGATGGAGCTATAAACAGTAATATAAGTGGTGAAAGTTGAATCAGAGTAGTTTAAATAAGGGATATACGTCTAGCTGGTTATTCTGGCATAACTATTATGGTTAATACACAGGTAGGATGGAAAAATAGCCCTTCTAAAACACAGAACAGCATTTCCTTTTGCTATGGGCACAGATAAATCAATAACTGTGTTATTCAGGTCCTCTTTATTCTTTGTTACAATACAAACAGGGGCCTACAATAAAAGGACAAATATCCACTTCATCAGGTACCAATATAAGTATTGGCAGCTGTGTTGTTGAGATTTTCTTCAGAGGAAACGGGGATTTAAGGATTCTCTTCTCCCTAAAACAAGTTACAAAACTGATTCCACAGAACTTTGTCTACATATCCCAGCATGGGCAATGAAAGTGAAAGCTTGCACATGTAAAATAGTCATGTTCAGTATTAAAATACTGGGAATGTTTCAGACTTCTGATGAACTTACAGTTCAGTTGAGTGGCCATATGAGTATGGAAAGCAGTGATTGCTGCTGTAACAACCCCCTCCAACATAATTTACTTCTCACAGTCCCAAATCCTTAATCCTTGGATACTTTGGCTGAAGGACCCTTGTGCTGCCATGATAGTAAAGTTTAGTGGACGTGTCCTCTTCTGGCCATCTGGAGATCTTGACATTTGTACATCAGGTCCCCAAAGTTGTCATCAGTGCACTTCAGAACCTCCTGCAATATTTATGCCCTGATGTTCTTCCAACAGATACTGAGGTGGTTGAAATTCCCCATGAGGACCAGACTCCATAAATGTGAGGCTGTTCCTATGCGTCTGCAAAGGGCCTCTTCCACTTTGCCTGTCCTCTTTTTAATCCTGACCATAATCTCTCCATCAGCTCCTCATCCATTCCCAGGCAGCATCCCATGCACTCCAGCTGCTCCCTCACATAAAGGGCAACTCTTCCTCCTCATCTTCCTTTCCTGTCCTTCCTGAAGAGCCCATATCCCTCCAATTCAACGCTTCATCCTGGGAGCCAACCTGCTCCACCTCCATGATCCCAACAAAATCGCAGCCCTGTAACTTCCCACAGATCTCTAACTCCTCAAGTTTATTCCCCACGCTGTGTGAACTAGCATCCAGGCACTTTAGAGGTGAGTCCCAGCATGTTCAATTCCTGGAGAAGATTTGGGATATTTGTCTATGACAGAGGTGCTTTGAAGGCATTTCCATGCTCACATAAAGTGCTAGAGGTAACCATGCCCACAATCCCACTTTGATGGCTTTGTGAACCCTTCCTGCCACACCACCCCATGTCCTTTTTCCAGCAATCCTGTCTGTTGGTCACCCCTCCCTCCCCCATCATTACTAGTTTAATGTCCTCCTTATGAGGTGGATCCCACCTCTCCCAAGCAGCTGCTAATCCTCAAACAGGGTCCCATGGACCCAAAACCCATGTAACCAACACCAATTTACAGCCAATTATTGATTTCACCCATTACTGTCCTCCTCCTTGCACCCTTTCCCCTCATCAGCACCCCGTGTGATGAAGCTGGACAAGGATGTTTTTGCCGAGAACTCCTGTCAGACTGTGTTGGAAAGACTGTTTTCTCATAGGTAACCCAATCCACCAACTTGTTTTGGCTTTGAGGGCTTGGACTCACTGATATAGTAATGCTTAACTAAATATTTGTAGCAAAGAGATGCCGTGACCAGGAACACAGGGACAGAGTTTATTTGCTGAAGACATAAAATAACAGAGATGTGGTTCCCCAAGTCTGCATTCTATTTCTTCCTTGCATGGCAGAAATTGCTCTCGCCCCAAGGGAGTTTCCTCAATGTGTTCATTAAGGAAATGGCCCATATGCTGGAAAAATTCCTTTTAGGTATCTGTGAGAAGCATGGATTGCTCTGCCTGTGCCATGCACAGACCAGACAAGCTCTTCCCACAACTCTCCCCTGCTCAGGTGAACCCAGGCAGGGTTTGCTCCACAGCCCTGGGAGCATTTTGCTGAGATGCACGTCCCATATTCCCTGGTTCTGTATCTTCCCTGTGTTTTCTAAACAAGCACACAAAGAGCTTTCATTTCATGCATGTAAGATGGATGCATTAAAAAATGAACCAAGTGACAAAAGAATTGTCTCTTGTCATCACTGAATTTTCACTGTGGGGGTTTCAACTCCCTTTGCCTCCTGATTCTTAATCTCACTTTTGTGTAACTTGAATGTCAAAAGATAAACAGTGGGACTCTTTAGCAACTGGTTGGGAAGATGCCCTGACTGGCTGTCAGGATTAAAAGATAGTCCTAAAGAAACCATTAAAAATCTGCTGCAGTGTAAGAAGGAGAAGAACAACAAGAGAAGAGCAACAACAACCTTATGCTGTCTCAAAGACAAAATGTCCTACTTAGTCTAACGGCTTCTCACAGGAAAGTTAGTACTGGGGTGGCTTCTATGCATGGGTAACATCTTAAAATAATAAATATTGCCTCAAGAAAAGGAGTTATGAGGATCTTGAAGCTAGCTGATGTATGTTGTCATGTCCCTCAGGGCATTAGCATCTGATGTGCTTTTAGAGATGAATCAGGCTCCAAAGTTATCCATGTACAAAAATAAGCTTTCAAAGTAGCATAAAAATTAAAAAAAAAAAAAGAGTTTTAAATATAATTTTGATTTTTTGTTCCCTGCCCCTGTAAACTGAATTTCTCAGAAGGGTGTAAGTACCTCATTTCAGTGTGAAAGAAAATATCTTATGCTAACGTAGACTTGCAAAGTTATGGGCCTGGCAAAAAAAATCTAGAGTGATTAATAAACAGCAGAGAAGAGTTTCTTTTATGATCTACATATGGCTGCCTAAGGACTTGATCCTGCTCCCAGGAGCGTCAGCGAGAACTTCAGCTGAACGCTGCAGGTTAGAAATATCCCCACAAATCTTGCTGCTCAGGAGTTTAGGTCCCTCAACAAGCCTTTAGGACTATTAGCTCTCAAATTTGGAAGGAGGCAGTTGCTTCAGAAGCACATACGCAAAAAAAGAAATAGAGAAAAAGTCTGATTTTTGTTAAGTTAATCAGAAGCGAGCAGTGACAAAGGTCAGAGGGAGTTGATCCACTGTTTCTTATCTCTCTATTCACAAAAATTGGTGGCTGTCAATGATGGTCTGCTCTTAAAGATAATACCAGGGGTTCTTCTCTTCTCTTTTCCCAATTTTCTCCTTGAGGAGGGCAACTAATGGGCAGCCACTTCAGACTATGCATATGAGCACATCATGGTGCCAGGTTTCTGTAGATTTAATTAGACACACCCTGCAACGTGGAATGAAAATTCTATTTGGGAAAATCAAGCTGCTTAATTTTCTCTACCATCATCAATAATCATAACAATAATTGCTACTACTATTGCTTTTTAATTACAGTTCCAGGTAGAAAGGAAGAATTGGATCCCTTTCCAGTTAATGTCATATATTCTTCAGCTTCCTTTTTACAGTCAAAAAAAGGAACAGATTCATCTCCCTGTGAATTGTATTTTATGCTAAACATACCAGCAAATTATCCTTAACACAAGAACCCTATTGCACAGGGCAGTTTGTCACATCAAAACATCTCTGGATGTACAAAATGCCCCAAACCCCAGGGAAAATAATCACAGCATCAACAAAGAGCTGTTCATGAGGGACAATATCACATTGGAGTGGTGGAAGAGGGTAATAAAGCCCATAATTTAAATGTGACACCTACCTATTGCATCTCCTTGCTCATGCACCATGGAGGCCAGGTCTTTAATGATCTGGTTCACATCCAACATGTCACTCTGAAAAGACAGAAAGTCCAATATTAACAAGGAATGGGGAATATCCAAGCATAACAGGCACATTCCACAGTACAGCACTGCAAAGAAAAACACAAACCCAGAAATCTTTATCCGTGTGGAAGAAAAAGAAAGAGAAAGTTATAATGCCCCCACAGTCAATAAAAGAGTCCCTTAGAGCCATGGTTTGCTGGATCCAAGTCAACCAGCTGACTCCAGCTTTGTGAAGGAAACAAGTAGAATGATCAGATTTTATGGCTGCTTTTCAGAATTGTGGAGGACTAAGGAAAAACAACAATAAAAACAACAGCAGCAAACACTTCCCTTTCTAAAAAAGAGCCATTCATCCCAGAGTGTGGATTCTTACACAGGAAAAGGCCACGTTTCAGCACAGCATCCATCTGATAAGATGCTATTCATAAACTGATGGAGATACCATCAAAAACTCACTGAGTTTGAAATCTCATTGGTGAGGCAACGAGGAAAGAGCTGTTTGATGAACAGATTCATTTATATGTTTTCAAGTAGCAAAAAAAAAAAAAAGGAGTAACTGGGTTCAGCACTGACATTTTCTCAGTGAAAACACAGCAAATTGCCCATGAGTTTGTTTCCTTCATTTCCGAACACTTATCATATAAAAGAGCAAATGTGAGCATATGTTGACTTCATACGACACTGTCTCTTATAAAAAGAATTAATTTAGCAATAATAGACATAATAATAAAGACACTGCTAAATGCACTAGCAGCACGGCAACATTACCAGAGCAGAAAAACAGACACTCAAAGAGGATGTATTTTTTTTTAAGCTGTACAAATTAGAGAATCACAGAAACATTAAAATTGGCAGGAACCTCTGGAAATCATTTAGTCCAACACTCCTTCTCAGAGCAGACAATTAAAGCAGATTGCTCAGGGCCATGTTCACTTGGTTTTGGCTGTTTCCAAGGATGGAGACTCCACTGTCTGGCAAACAGTGTGTCCATGTAGTGGGCAATCCAGCCCTGGATGCTTTCTGAAGCATTGAAGACATTTCCTAAGAATCTGCTTCTCCTGACACCAATTGCACAGTAATTCATTTATCTGTTTGGGTCCTGTTGCAACGCACGTCCACCTGGTTGGAGATGTTGGAGCAGCTCTGTGGAGAAGGACCTGTTGGTTCTGGTGGACAACAGGCTGTCCATGACCAGCAGTATGTCCTGGGGGACAAGAAGGCCAATGGTATCCTGGGATGCATTCAGAAGAGCATTGCCAGTAGGTTAGGGAGGTGATTCTGCCACTCCACTCAGCCCTGGTGAGGCACATCTGGAGAGCTGTGTCCAGCTCTGGGCTCCTCAGGACAAGAGAGACATGGAGCTCCTGGAGCAGGTCCAGTGGAGGGTTACAAAGATGATGAAGGGATGGAACATCTCTCTTATGAGGAAAGGCTGAGGGAGCTGGGGCTGTTCAGCCTCAAGAGGACACACTGAGAGGGGACCTCCCCCATGTCTGTCCATGTGTGCAGGGAGGGGGTCGAGGATGGACCAGGCTCTGCTTGGAGGGGCCCAGCAATGGGACACGAGGAATGGGCAGGAACTGATGCCCAGGAAGTTCTACCCGAACCTGAGGAAGAATTTCTTTACTGTGCAGGTTCCCCAGAGAATGTGTGGACTGTCCTTCACTGGAGATATCCCAGAACCAGCTGGACACAATCCTGTGCCATGTGCTCCTTTCTTGAGCAAGGAGGTTGGACCAGATGACCCACTGTGGTCCCTTCCAACCTCACCCGTACTGTGATTCCACAATCATGTCAAAGGGCCTGGTTGCTTCCACCCCACTTTCAAAGAACTCATTTTGCTTACTGGCAAATCTAGAAAATGGTGCAAAATGAACCCAAGTCCTTCTACTGAAGTTTGCTGTGAGAATATAATTGGCATAACATTTAATCACAGAATTGCATCAATTTGCAATGAAGCCTGGGAGCCACACTGTGAATTCTAAAATATACCAAACTGTTGAATAACTGAAGATATAGAAAAAAAACAAACAAAAGGTTTAAAAAGCTGGGAAATCATAAGAAAGCAAAAAAAAAAAAA